GATTTTTTACGTGTTGGCTAAATAATATGTTCTGTTAAATTGTGATTATCTATAATTCTTTTGAATTCACTTGTCTCTTTACTATCTACTAACATATTAATATTAAAATGGCCTGTTAGGATGATTTTATGTTTTACTATATATCTTAGTCTGCGCATAAATTGTCGAAATCATGGAAAAACTGCGTTATGTTTGAATTAGGTGTTCTGTAAACACAAATAACGATACATTTCATTGAAATAACTTCCAATCCGCAGCATTCAAATATATAATCCTTAGCATATTCCTTCAAAAAAGTTAGTTCTTTTGTATCTAAATATTGTTTATGGAGTACACAAACGCCCCCTCTTTTTTCATTTCGTCTAGAGTATGATGCACCTAGATTGTATCCGGATATATTTATATTACGTTCACTACCCTACTTTATAAAGGTTTCACTTAAGCACAATATGTCAAATTCTTTATTATTAATTTATAGTTCATTCAATGTTATCTCGATTAGTTCCTTTTTACTAAGTAATCCCGCAATATTTTGATGAAGTATAGTGAAAAAAATATTATTAGCCTCGAAAAAGCATGCTATTTGTGGATCTATTGAGAGATGATGGATCTTCTTTGTTCCTAGGAAAGTAATGTGTGATAAATTTTTGCACCGTTTTGATCTCAAGACCTTTCCGTGAATTATCTTTAACGCTATCAATTGGCTTAAAATAAAAAGGAATAGTTCCCTTTTTGACATGATTATTTGCAACTTTAGCTTTCGAGAACTTATCTTTAATCTTAGATTTGAGGCTTGCGCAACACAAATATGATTTGGCATAGTAAACAGAATCTATTAAAATATGAATTTTAAAACAGAGATTTTCCAAAAAGTTATTATTATAATTAATACTATTTACGTCTAAAAATTTACAATTGTGAAAGATTTTGCTGTATATATTTAATTTCATACGTAGTTTATATTCATTTAAGTACACACTGTTTTTTGGGCCTACTAAAATAATGTTAGATTGGCTGTGTGTTTTTACAAAGTAGCTGAGTTCCGCGAATAGTTTTATTGGATCTCTGTCATGTTCCCCTACACCAGCTATACTCTAAGTGTGTTCCGCGGAACCCTAGGGTTCCGTGATACCTCTGTCGGGGTTCCGCAAGAATTTAGAAATAAAAAAATCAAAACACCTCTCTCTGGTCGCTCCGCGGCTGTGCGGACTCCGCGGCCGCGCGGAGACAAAACGCTATGAATGTTATTTATTTATTTATTTGTATTTGTATAAGCTTGTGTTACATTAGCTGGTACAATATCTCATAAGTTTGGTCTCAACAATTTTATACTTGTACAACGCGTTCGCTCTAAGTTTGCCGGTCTGTGGAATGCGCGTACCCTCCCCCACGTGACAACAAAACTTATAATGTGTCATAGTTTTACCCAAATATCTAACGTACACAATTTTTATTGTTACAATTAAATAAAAAATTTCGAACGTCATACACTCATACCTATCGCCAGCGGCAAACTTAAAACGAGCGGGTAGTATACTTGTAAGCGCTCAGTCTCTTTGATAAAAGCCGCCTCTGAATTAGACGCTATAGTTGTCAACTAGCGACTTTCGTCTCTAACTTCAAAGGATAAAGTCGATATTGTTTACAACGCTATTTTTAAATTTCTGTTTTTATTTTTGCTTTTTGTTTATCAAAGGTGCCGACTCGAGTATTTTCGAGAATATTTGAGATCGAGTCTAGGACTAAGTATAAAAGCGGCGATCGCGCGTTGGCGTCGTCAGTTGATGATTAGCGTTCGGAGCGATAAGTTACTACCTACTTACAAGCTCGCTAGCGAGAAACTGGTGTTCATTGTTTTACTGCCTGCTGTATTCTGTTGTCTCAGTTTTATACATTTCTTCCCTGTAGGTTCTAAATTTAGTCTCTTATACGCAGTAACGATTGTGCATTATTTAAACCCCACTATCCTGACTTGTAACATTATAAATAAAGAAGAATGGAACGTTGGCTTAAAGGTGTTAAACGTGTTCCAACAACATCTTCTAATGACGCTGAATGTTCAAAAGCAATGCGCGCGGAGAATTTAGCAATCACCGATCCAGAAGATGATGCCACGAGTGCCACGACGTCAAGCTCGACGGTTTCAAAGACGAAAAAAAGGAAGTATGATGAATCTTATATCAGTTTCGGATTTGTTGATTCCAACGGCTCACCTCTCTGCATGCTCTGTAGTAAACTGCTTCCTAATAGTTCCATGGCACCTGCCAAATTGCGTCGACATTTAGAAACCGTACACCCCGAGACTAAAGACAAGAATAAAGAATTTTTTGTTCGCAAAAAAGATCAGTTATTAGAAAGTCAAAAAAATATGATGCATGTAACACAAACTACCAACGAAAAGGCCACGGAGGCATCATACTTAGTTAGCTATCGCATTGCACAAGCAGGTGAAGCGCACACTATCGCTGAGAAATTAATAAAACCATGTGTATTAGACATAACAAAATGTATGCTTGATGAAAAATCTGCAAAGCATCTTTCTACTGTTCCGCTATCAAACGATACTGTTTCACGACGAATCCATGATCTGGCAAGCTACGTCAAACAAGAACTAGTTACACGTCTACAAAATACACGATTCGCTTTGCAAATGGACGAGTCGACTGATGTCGCTGGTTTGGCTATCCTGCTGGTTATTGTGAGATATCCATATAAAAGTTCTTTTGAAGAAGACATGCTTATGTGTTCATCGCTGCTTACAAACACTACCGGGGAAGAAATTTTTAATAAAATAAATATATTTTTTGAAGAACATAATCTCAGTTGGAACAATTGCATTGACATTTGTACAGATGGGGCCAAGGCGATGACAGGTAAAACAGCAGGAGCAGTGTCACGAATGAAAAATAAAGCGCCTAATTGTAGTTCCAGTCATTGTATTCTGCATAGACAAGCACTTGCGATGAAGCAAATGCCGTCTAATCTAAAATTAGTTATGGATGAAGCGGTAAAAATAATTAATTTTATCAAATCACGACCACTACAATCCCGATTGTTCTCATTATTGTGTGAAGATTATGGCAGCAAACATAAAACACTGCTGCTCCATACAGAAGTGCGATGGCTGTCTCGGGGAAAAACTTTAACAAGGCTATTTGAACTTAGAGCCGAGTTACAAATGTTTCTTTCAGCAGATACTTCTTTTAATTTGAAGGACCGTTTGTATGATAAAACTTGGTTGTTCCGATTGTCTTTTATGGCGGATATCTTTCAAAAACTTAACGAATTAAATTTATCATTGCAAGGTAAACAGACAACAGTGTTTCAGGCCTATAATAAAATAACTACTTTTAAAAGAAAATTAGATTTTTGGATCATTTGCATTGGTAAGAAAGAAATAGAAAGTTTTACGTTACTCACTGAGTTTGTTAGCGAAAACGACTCAGAAATGTTTGAAGATAATGTGTTTGAAGAATTGGTCCAATATCTCAGTTCGATGCGCGCATCTTTTGAAAAGTATTTTCCCGAAGAACACAATACAAAAATTAAAGTGAACTCCTGGATTCATAATCCTTTTTTACCCAACTTGGAAAAGCCTGAAAACATGTCAAATGAGATATATGAATCTCTTTTAGAAATGTCATCAGACACAAGTATGGAGTCATTGTTCAAAACGACGCCTCTTAATGATTTTTGGTGCAGAATCCAAGATGAATATGCAATGCTTGGCCAAATGGCTCTGGATATTCTTCTCCCGTTCCCAACTACATATTTGTGCGAAACAGGATTCTCTACCTACGCAGCCACGAAAACAAAATATCGCAATAGACTGGACGCCGAAGCTGATATGAGACTCCAACTTTCTTCCATCAAACCTGATATCAAGCAATTGATGAAAAATAAAAAACAGTTTCATACCTCCCACTAATTAGATTTTTTCTTTTTTAATGTTTTCTATTATTGTCCTTACCAAGTGGTGAAGTAAATAATAATTAGTAACGGATACATTGTACTTTTATTATGCTGATTAATATAGAATACACTTATAAAAATAATTGTTTTATTGTAGGGTTCCATCAAGTATTTTGCTTCCCAAAAGGGTTCCGTCATTTAAAAAGTTTGAGAACCACTGCCCTACACTAACGATTATCCAGTCATTTTCAGTACTCTTGAGGTTGCTACACTTAAGCAAATCTTCACATCGAGCATTAGGTTTCACGACTGATGTTATTTTGTGTTTTTCATAGTGTGTTCCTTCTCTAGATTCAGTCATAGCAGAGGACAAACCCCTGCATAAATCTCCACCAAATATATATATAGTTTTAAGTTCTTTGTTTTCTTTTTCAGGCATACTCAATACGTCTTTATGAGTTTCAGTTCTATCATCTGTAGTCTTTGATATTTGTATATTTCCCTCATTTTTATTATGTGAACAATTGTTTGCTTTTGTCAAATAATCCGATTGATTCAACGATACTGTCTCTTGTTGTATGTTTCTTCGCACATTCTTATGTGGTGTCACGTTAAATTTCTGTGTGGACTTGCAAATATTTTGAAGCTGTTTTATTTGAAAAGAATAATCTTTGATTTGTTTCTTTAAATTTCCATTTTCTAGGATTAAAAATTTGTTATTTTTTTCACACCCTGGGTTATATTATCGAAGTTTTCATACGGAACCCTTACTTTTCTGAAAATACTCTATAGCCTATGTTCATCAGGAATAATGAAGGATTCTAAAAGTGAAAGAATTTTTCAAATATGTCCCGTAGTTTCGGAGCCTATTCAATACTAACAAACAAGCATACAAAAAAACAAACAATGAAATCCCTTCCTCTTTATAATATTAGTATAGATACAATTACATACTAAGCTTTTTTTTAACTGCTATATTTTGTGAATAAATGCCTGTTCGGTTAGTAGAAAATTATGTTGATTTGACGTTAACATGGGCCACAACTGGATACATTGAATATTATGAATATGACGTCAAAGAATCTTACCGCGTAATTTAGACCTGTCAGATCCGGTTCTCCACTCTTCAGCCATTCGTAAAATTCCATAGCATTATCCGTGGGGTCACCCTCACCGTAAGTTGCCATGCAGAACACCGCCAAGGAGTTTGGTATATCCTGCAGTTTGGTTAGTTCCTCCTTAAAAAATAAAAACAAAAAACATTAAAATGTAAATCCTGGATCAAGTAAACATTTTCTTAGTAAAACTTTCAAGATTTACACATCTATAAGTTAAATTATAATAAAAATAATTAATATTAAATAACAATCTTAGAAAATGTTGTTTTTGACAATAATAATAATGAAATGTAAATTATGTAAGGAGTCTTGTTACCTAAATTTCATTTATTTACAAAGATAGATTAAAAAAGATATTTCTCTTCTTCTTAAATAGTACAGTTTAGTGTTTTTTTTTCTAATTACTTTATTGATTTTGAAACGCGTTTGAAATATTATGTAAATATCTATTTACCACGTTACCTATTTTCAGGGCCTGATTTAGAAGTGTGGTGGCCTCTCTCTTATGGGTTCCCTGGCCCACAGCCCCGCCTGTCATGCCTTAAATCCAACCCTGTCCATTTCTTGAATAGATATTTTCAAGATCGAAAATAAGTATCCAAAAAATACTATCGTAGAGTTTTTAATCCAAAATTTTAAATATTGAATGAGAATCAATATTAACCGAATAATGAATTACTGTCTTTGTCACCTAGCTATACGACAAATTACAATTTAATAAAACTGCTAATCGTAACCTAGGTACCTACTTAATCAGTTTTTCTTTCCATGTTTATCATTCATACATATATAAACCAAGGTCAACTTAATTTGACGTGTACTCAAAGGTTGTTCAACAAGGTTCAACACTCCGGCGCGGCGTCCATTTAAATCCAAGTAGGTACTAACCTATTTATTTATTTTTAGTTAAAAATTTAAATTTGTGATATACTATTATTTATTTCGCGTAATATAAGAACGAATTACATGACGTGACCTATATGTATAACCTATATCTTTACTTTTCGTGGAATGAAAAGACGGTAATTCTATTCAAGTTTCAAGATTTTATTAAACTTAAGAAGATTCTGGTTCTGACTTTGTTATTGGCAACAGACTTTAATAGCATCCCGTGTAAGGTACCTTGTTCAAAATTAACAAATTTTTACCGAAAGTACAAAAAAAATGTGTGCACGGACCACACATCTGAAGTGAAACTTCTTTTCTTAAATAACCTAAGATTAAGGTTATTTAAGAAAAGAAGTTTCACTTCAGATGTGTGGTCCGTGCACACATTTTTTTTGTGTTAATATATCCGTTAGTGTATTTTTTATTACTTTTTGTGTTTTCATACTTAGCTAGGTAAGGTAACTACTTAGTCATTGATAATAAATATTAGGTACTTTTGTTATATCCTTGGTTGCAGACAGCATTTTCCAGTTAAGTGCTTACCTACTAAGCAAAAAGTATTTTTGAATAGCAATATTGAAATACCTACCTCCCTTATTATTATGTTTTAATTGCGTACTAACATTGTTAATTCAAAATAGTTTAGGTACGAATTTAGATAAATTTAATGTCGGATACAAAATATGTAATAACTTGTGGGAATTTTTAAATGAAAGACACCTAAATATAACTGGTGATACTGAGAAAATGTAAATGTATCTCAATACGCAGATGATTTTGGTATATTTGTTAAACATAAGAATTTGGACGACAGCGTTATTGCTATACAAAATTAATTAAATACTTTTGAAGAAATTATACAAGAAATAGGGCTAACGATATCAATAAAAAAGTCAAAAGATTGTATTTACAGCAGAGGATTTAGAAAACAACAAATAACACTTTTATTAGAATATAAACAAATAAAGTCTACAGAAAATATTAAATACTTGGGTCTATGGCTAGATCGATCATTAAGATGGACAGAGCACATAAATGAATTTTGTAACAAAACACTGAAGTATCTTAATTCACCCTGATTATCTTAGAACGCTTTACATTTCACTTATAAGAAGCAGAATTATTATGGCTATTTTGTGTACTACAATAGTGCTAAAACACACATTTATAAATTGGAAAAAGTCCAAAATAAAGCTTTAAGAGTGGATGGGCGGATTTATTAAAGCAACCCCAATTCATGTAATGGTAAACTAAATTTGTGTAACTCCTCTACATATAGGAAGGCAATATGTAGCTCTTAAATTTTGTCTTAAAAGCAGATCTTTAGGAAATAATGTGACTTTAAATTGTATGAAGGAACTCTACGCCTTTTGTAGCCATAGGTATTGGAGTAATAAAAATAACCACAATTAATGACATCGTACTAGGAAACAAAAGACGATAAACTATTCTCATCAAATCCTTTAGATCCAAGTTATTGTCTTGGCCGTTGAAGGGTACACAAGGGTACAAAACCAGGTGCTACATAACACCATTGCACCAATGCATTTATACGTGCAATATTACGTGTAAACTCAACTTTATCTAGCCTACAATTGACTGGTTATTCAGTCAACGTTTTCCAAGTGGCAATTTTCCATCGTCAATGGGTAGCGGTTCTGGCGACAGATTGGTGCAATGGACACCATTGCACCAATCTGTCGTAGCACCTGGTTTTGTACCCTTGTGTACCCTTCAACGGCCAAGTCACACAACATTAACTATAATAATAAAGAAATCGCAGTAAGGAACCTTAGATTTGGCACGACTTGGTCTAGATTTCATTACTTTTTAGAGATAAACAAGCAGCTCCATCGAGACTTGGCTAGTTTTTTACAGAATGTTTTTGGTGGGATCAATCTTTACAATTAAAAGAGTGGATCGATCGCCTTCGTTCGCGATACGCAGATGAAAAGCACAGAAATATCCTCTTACGATTATATTACTTTAAAAATTTTGACGATTGAAGAACACTACAATAATCAAAATGATAAAGTGTAGCTGCTCAAGTGGTCGGAAAGGTTCAACGTGGTCATCATCCTGCGTCAGTGATGGTTTGGTGCGGCGTGTCTTTTCAAGGAGTCACAAAAGTACATTTTTGTGGAAAAGAAGTGAAAACTACAAAGTGTATCAAGATACAGTCTCTGATCATGGTGTGAAACCTCTCAGCAATACACTTTTTATAAATATACCGTGGACTTTCCAGCAGGATTCTGCACCTGGTCACAAGGCACGAACTACGCAAGCCTGGCTTGAAACCAACGTTCCGGACTTTATAAGAGCTGAAGACTGGCACTCATCTAGCCCAGACCTCAACCCTTTAGACTTCAAATTATGGTCAGTTTTAGAGGACATGGCCTGCTCTAAACGACACGGCAACATTAAGTCTCTTTAAAAATCTTTGGAGCAAGCAGAAACAGTGCGTAAATCCATAAATTCGTGGTCAAACAGGTTAAAGGCCTGTATAAAAGCAAAAGGTGGCCATTTCAAATAGAATATTTTTTGCTGAGACTAATAAATATGTAGGTATAAATTTTAATAATATTACATTACTACATTTTAAAAAAAGGCATTTTCATTTGTAACAGAACTTATGACTGGACTAGGTATATTTAAATGTATGAACACCTGTACCTTCACATCAAAAGGGGTCCTCGAAAAATATTTAGCAAATTGACGACCGTCAGTAGGAGAAAAAGAGAATGACAACAACCAAGTCAATATAAAAATTTGTGTTACCTATAATTTAAAATATTGCTTACCATATCGCATTCCTCTGGGTCGGCGACCATGCCTTTCATTTTGTAGCGCACGCCTTCCTTAGCCAGACGGCCTGCGAACTCCTCGCCAGTGCCTGTCTGGGAACCGTAGAACACCACCAGGCTTCTGCCAGATGACTTCAGTTTCTTGATGAATGAGTTCTCAGCTACTTGTATGGAGCCCGCAGTTCTGAAACAAAATAATATCCATAAATAAATAAAATTATTTCGCAATTACCAATCAATACAATTACTGCTCTGAAATCTGTCTTAACTCACTTAACACCACACGGCCCATAAGGGCCGCGCGGGAAAAAACATTGCACAGTCAAACACCGCACGGCCCATATGGGCCGCGCTCCCCACGGGACTATAAGCCGTTTTTTGTGTAGGTTAGAGTTTACTTTTGTATGAAGAAGTTTTACTATAGACAAACGTGGATAAATTCTCATTCTCCAGAGCCGTAAATTTTGCGCCAAAACTGCGTACTTTTTTTTTTATTTGGCTAGTGAAAAAGTGACATTATTTTCGTTCATTGGAGGTTAGTAGTGTGTAATTTATCTGTTTTTTCAAGGTAAGTGTATATTTTTGTACGAAAAGTGTTACAAAGTGTGTTATTCTGCTTATAATATACCTTTATAGATAATAGGTTGTATGTAATATTATGTAAAAATACAGATTTTCAAGATCATATTTGACTGATTTTGTTAGCTTGTTTCCAAGTGATTTGTGATGATTGAGTTTCGGAAATACAATAAATCTTTAAAATAAGCAATGGAAACTCGTTTACAATTAGTTTTTACGTCGTAAATACTAAATTATTACTAATAAAAATAACGGAATTCCTATGTTCATCATCAAAAATGGTATATCGTCTGTCAATTGCTAGCGAGCCATTTTGACTCTTATTTGTACGTACTAACGGGCGTAGCCTACCGGCTTCGATCTGAACCTCTTTTCATAGGCGTATTGAATAGACACGGAACATATCGATAGTTACAAGATAAAAATAATGAATTGTCGATAGAACTACGGATATTATGGTGGAGCCATTTTATGACTAATTTATGTTTAGCTAATTAATTATTACTTTTTCATAGTGGCAGTTTTACATAATATAACAAAATAATATTGGTTCATGCGTAACTATGTAGATATGATTACGAGTGGTTTAGTAAATTGCGTGGTTTTCTTTTTTTGTGTTTTATAGTATGTCTTCGTGGCGCGTAGACCAGGACCCACCCGCCGACTTTTTAAGGCTCCTCTATGAAGATGAGGAGGGTGAGGGTGAGGAGTATTTAAGTGAGGAGTATTTGGAGAGTGATGATGAGGTGGTAAGTCTACAGTAGTTCTTTACAGTTGCCCTCGTAATATATTTAAATATATTAATATGTGTGTAAATTTTCCATAGGATGAAGTCAACATGCATTATGGAAAAAACGGTAATATAAAAATGAATGCTTTTATAATAAAGCAACCATTCCTTATATCCAAAGCTTTTCTTTAGGATTGCACTGGTGTTGAGCTTATTGTGTTTGGTTTTCATGGGTACCACGCTTATTGTTTTTGGTTTGAAGTTGCCTTTTCATTTGATTTGTGTATAATGTAATGGGTTTGAGGTGATTGCATTGCATTTTATTTATTGTGTTGTTGCATGAACTTTCTTTTGTATGGCTTAGGACGTTAATGAAGGGCACATAACTCCAACGCCAGAAGCCCCCCAGTATTCGCCGCTGACATCACCATCGCACCGGGAGGATAGGGAGAGGTCCCGATCACCGATCCGGGATTCTGAACCGTAAGTTTTATATAAATAAGTAAATAAATCAAATTTATATATATATATATACATAAATTAGATAAATTTGATTTATTTGAGAAATTTATATTTATGTAAATATATTTTATCCTACTGATGTTATAACTGTGGAAGTTTGTGTTTGTTACTCAATCACGCAAAAGCGGCTGCACGGATTTGGGTGAAATTTGGCACGCGCATACTTTTATTCATTACATTATATCCCGGGAAAACATTAGATTCCTAAGGTATTTTCAGAATACTAAAGTCAACGCTCGCCAAGTCGTTGGCGGCCGCAATTTTATATATAATAATTTGCTATTTTTTATAGGACGGGCGTGGTGGTCAGAATCTATGACGAGGCTGGCGTGGCTCTCGAAGAATTTTTGACACCAGACGCCCACCCTATATATAATTTTGAATCTGTTAATGTTGTGAATGATGCGAGTGAAAGAAGGAATGGACGAAGAGGGATGAGAGGCATTCGGGGGCGAGGGCGTAGAGCACGCGGGCGTGCAACATTTTCGCATCGAAGTCGGCGGGGAGGGTTTCAGTGGCAGGTGGGACACCCACTGAAAGAGATTTGGACGACTGATGCAGACGTCCCCCCCGAATTAATAAGTTTGGCGAGGGATGTTGTGAGGAGGCGAGAAGAGATGGGAATGCAAGATCGAGAAGAAGATGATGATGAATTTTTTGACGCCAGTGATGCACAGGATGGTCTCCCAGGGCTGGAAGGCCAGAATCGTTACTTTGATTGGAAGCCTATGGATTCCTTTCAAGGTAAGGAAGAACGATTTTTACCTGAGCTGACTGGTTCAGTTCAGACTTACAATTCGGCGTATGATGCCTTCCGTTCCTATTGGGACGATGATATCTTAGGTCGAATTGTAGCTGAAACGAACCTTTACGCCAGTAAAATCGCCTCTGCTGCTTTCCAGTCCGAATGGTATCCCACTAACGTTGATGAAATTTTGTGCCTTTTTGCGTTCTGGATGATGTTGGGTATCGTTAGAATGCCGACTATATATAGTTGTTTTTCTCTCGACCCTCTTTTACGCACTGAAGTGTTCAGACGCATTTTTACGCGAAAAAGGTACGAACAGTTAAGTAGAGCATTACATTTTGTAGATTCCGACCCCGGTTTTAATGATATAAATTCGTTCAACACTGGCGCTGATAGAAGCTTGGATCGATTACACCTTTTGAGGCCGATAATTACACATTTAAATTCAAAGTTTCAATCGAATTATGTTTTAGGTAAAGATATTTGTATAGATGAAAGTTTAACCCTTTGGAAAGGAAGATTGGATATCAAACAGTATATTCGGTCCAAAGCTTCAAAGTTCGGGATCAAGACATTCGAGCTTTGCGAGAGCGTTACCGGCTACCTTTGGTCATTTATTGTGTACACAGGCAGAAATACTGCAGTGGATGTGGAGCAATCGCCCGACGATCTAAAAAGTACAGCCGTTGTGAAAACGCTCATTGGTCCCCTACTTCATAAAGGATATAGGTTATTTATGGATAATTGGTACAATTCACCTCTATTAGCTAGATTTTTAAAACGCAATGGTACCGATTGTGTTGGCACATTGCGACCATCCCGCCGCGACGTTCCCTTTCTAATAAATAAAGCTCCGCTAAGAAGGGGTGAGATAGTGGCCAGACATTCTGGTGATGTCACGGTCTTATCATGGCAAGACAAGAAAAGAATAACCATGATATCTACTTGTCATGGTTCATCTACAGCCTTGCCTAGAGTCGCATCACGACCTCTTTCTCGCACAGTACCACATAAACCACAGATGGTACTTGATTATAACAAGTTTATGGGTGGGGTCGATTTAAAGGATCAGATGCTGGAACCTTATTTATTAGAACGGAAACGTTGTGCCAAGTGGTACATGAAACTTTTTAAACGCCTTCTTAACGTCTCTATTCTTAACAGTCGCATTCTTCTTCAGTCTTCTTCAAATAAAACTCACGATCATTTAGCTTTTCGCCTTCATCTTGTAGATTCAATCCTAGGAAATCATCTTTTACTCTGTCCTAAAAGCCGTAGGTATAATTGTTCGAATAGTAGCACTAGATCATCACACCAACTTCCCATTAGAACGAATAATACACACTGGCCCGCCCCATTGGATTCTTCCGAAAGCTGCGAAGCGGTAAACCGGAATTTCCGGAAACGCTGTGTAGTTTGCCTTCGAGCCGGTAAAAAATCGCAAAAGACCGCCTTTTGTTGCGAAGCCTGTGGCGTACCATTGTGTATTAAATCGTGTTTTAAATCATACCATACTTCATCTTAGTTACATGCTTTCTTCTTCTTATTCTTCCCAATTATCCATAAATAATTTATTTTTGATAGGTATTTTGTCTGGTGTACGATAGGGTATGTATGTGTTTTGAGTATATGTTATCAAACCTTGGACAATTTAGCTGTTTTACGATTCAACTTTATCAACATTTTTAATCAACATCATGTCTTTGTGTTACATAAGAGAATAATGTAATATTTGTACATCTAGTTACATCATTTTGTTTATTTTCCTGGAATTATTTAACGTACATATACCGTTTTTCATACAGCTAAAAATGTCCATACCGGGTTTTAGAGAAAGTAAAAAAATTAACTATTCTAAAGAGATATTATATTGCTTCGAAGTTGAAAAAGAGTCTGACTTTGATTTTTATTGTGTGAAATACATACAAGTTATTATATAAAAGGTAACTTCCAATTTAGCAGTAAATTCAAAGTTTGTGTTGGGTATTGAACCAATAAAAAAAACTAAAGAATATCAAAGGTATTTACTTTATTATTTCTATTGATATAAGTAAATCGTAAAAAAGGTACTTTCAATTTAGCAGTAATTTTATATTGTTACTATATGTAACAATATAAAAAAACTCAAGAATTTGAAAAGTATAAATTTTATTATTTCTATTGATGTAAGTTATTCTAAAAAAGGTACTTTCAATTTAGCAGTTAATATTAAAAAAGTTTGAGGTAATGTAACAACATAAAAAACTCAAGAATTTGAAAAGTATAAATTTTATTATTTCTATTGATATAAGTTATTCTAAAAAAGGTACTTTCAATTTAGCAGTAAATACTAAGTAAGTTTGAGGTAATGTAACAATATAAAAAACTCAAGAATTTTAAAAGTATAAATTTTATTATTTCTATTGATATAAGTTATTCTAAAAAAGGTACTTTCAATTTAGCAGTAAATATCAAAAAAGTTTGAGGTAATGTAACAATATAAAAAACTCAAGAATTTGAAAAGTATAAATTTTATTATTTCTATTGATATAAGTTTTTCTAAAAAAAGGTACTTTCAATTTAGCAGTAAATACTAAGTAAGTTTGAGGTAATGTAACAATATAAA